GTGCCATGGAGTTGGTTCTGACCAATAGTGACCCTGTATAAGGTTTCCAAGGCTGTAAATCTTTACAGGAGCAGAAAGCCTCATCTTTCTCCCAAGGAACTGCTGGTAATTTTGAACTGCAGACCTTGAGGTTAGTAGCCTGACTTGTAATCACTACCTACTATGCTACCAGTGTGTGTGTATGTGTGTGTGTGTGTATACATACATACATACATACATACATATATATATGTAGCCAGAGTGCTCCATCTCTCATACTTCAGACATATTGTCAGGAGGGACCAGTTACTGGAGAAGGATATCATGTTTGGTAAGGTGGAGGGTCAGAGAAAAAGAGGAAGACCCCCAATGAGATGGATTGGACCCAAGTGTGGCAACAGTAGTGAGGTTGGCCCAGGATCGGGCAGTGTTTTGTTCTGCTGTGCATGAAGTTGCTATGGGTCGGTACCGACTTAATGGCACCTAACAACAACAACAACAACAACAACAATATATATATACATAAATACATTTACACACAAACATATTATGCGATGGTGAAGCACTGTAGGATGAGCACTGGATTTCTAATCACAAGGTTGACAGTTCAAACCCACCAGCAGTTTTTGGAAACCCTATATAGGGTTGCTGTGAGTTGGAACCAACTCGATGAACAACTTATTTACGTACATCATACTGTCCACTTAGATATGGAGCCCTGGTGGTACTGTACCATAAGCACTGAATTGCTAACCTTAAGGTCAGCAGTCCAAACCCACCAGCCACTGGAGAAAGATCAGACCCTCTGCTCCTGTAAAGGTTTAAAGCTTCAGAAGCCATTTCTTTACTATTGAAGATTTCTTTATTCTTTAGTTATGCCAATATACTATATTGAATATATACTCCATATGGAATATGTATTCCTGGTGTAGGAGAAACACTGGACCACAGGGTCAAGTTGAACTACAAGGTCAGCAGTTCAAACTCATCAGCCACTCCTCCGAAACCCTATACAGGTTCGCTATGAGTGGGAATCAACTCAAAGGCACTTAACAACAACAACAACGTATGGAATATGCTTTCAGCACACTAATATAGAAATGGGTACATAAATTATGGATATTCATATTCAAACTTATACTTTAAAATACTTTTTGTTAAATCAGAAAATGCCTATGAGATGGCAAAATGCACATTATTAAAAAAGTGTAACTAAACCCACTGCCACTGAGTTGAGTCTAACTCATAGACTAGGCTGTTGAATATACTTTTATCTGTATTAGCATATGGAGTCTAGCATGGTGCTGTGGGTTAATGTGCTGGACTGTAAAGTTATTTGAACTGCAAGATCAGCGGTTCAGCTCACCAGTTGCTTCTCAGACACCCTATACAGGGTCGCTACGTGTTGGAAACAACTTGATGGCACTTAACAATGACAATAACAACAACAACAACAACATATTAGTGTATATTATCTTATTATTTTTTAGGACAGATTTCTGAACAGGTCAAAGTAATTCTCTACTTTTTATTTATTATTTCAGAGCATAGGGTTAAATGGTTTTCAGAATGGTTGAACTTTCATTTAATTCACTAACGTTAAGAATTATGTAAAAATAGAACCTTGTTTTTATTTGGATTTGAATATTCAAGAGATTAAGTTTTTGAATTTTTATTTACTATTTATATTTGGTCTGGAACTTGTCACTGTAGATTTATGCACAAATACTTCTATATTATGATGTTAATGTTTTAATAAAGGAGCTCTGGTGGAGCTGTTGAACTGTTAACTGTTAGCCACATGATCAGCAGCTAACCACATGAGTTGAACTGTTAACTGTTAACCACATGATCAGCAGTTCAAATCCACCAGCTGCCCCATGGGAGAACCATGAGGCTTTGCGCTGCTGTAAAGATTTACAGTCTCAGAAATCCTGAGCCAGAACCGACTCCACGGCGCACAACAATGACAACGCATTTTAAAAATATTAATCTGTATGGACTTCTTACAGAGTAAGATTATTATTCCTTTGTCGTATCTGTTGCCTGTAATTTTTTTTTCAAGTTTCAATTAGGATATTATGTACATAATATTATATGGTTAAATATTTGCATGCATTCTTTCCCTTATAATTTGTTGATTTTTTTTTTTTTTTTTTGTAATGTATGAAAGAACTTCAAAAAGCTCATGGAAATATTCCATTATCTTTTAGTTCCATTTTCCCATGAACTCTTTGAAGTCCCCTCGTATTTTGCCAGGTAGATATCACATATGCATGTATTTAACATTTTTCTCTTTGATTATGTCTTGAAAATATTTTTCCCTTAACCCATTTTGCTAATTTACTTTATAGTACAACACAATCTGAAACTGTGCAACCTTTTCCAAATAAAAATATTCCAGCACCATTTATTACTATAATGTTGTTGTTGTTGTTAAGTGCTGTCGAGTCGGTTCTGACTCATAGCGACCCTTTACAGGGTTTCCGAGGCTGTAAATCTTTACAGGAGCAGAAGCCTCATCTTTCTCGTGCGGAGCGAGAAATAATGGTAATAATGATATGTAATAATAATAAAATCTTTCATGCAGTAGAATCTATTTAAAGAATACTTCCTGCTTTATTTTTCTTTGTGTTGATCCTTGTACCATATGATTTTAACACTTCTAGCATTGTACCAGCTTTGTATGTCTCAGAGGGCAGCTTTTCTACCATCCCTTATTGTGAAAATTTCTTTACATGGCCTACTCATTTCTTCTGCCAAATAATCATAACTGTAATCTATGAAGACATGACTCTCATTTCTCAAAACAAAATTTTTACTGGGATATTGATCAAAATTACATTAAATCTAGATGTTAATTTGAGAAAGATGGCATGAATGTTGCTATTTAATATACTTATAATCCCTCTACTTCCAGAACTGCAATGCATATGGCAGTGGATACTAACACCATGCAAAACCTTCACAGACAATTACTGCTTCTTTAGAGAGACAAGATATGGATAGAAGAATGGCTCAAGAACTGATGGTGGTAGTAGTGGTGATGTGCTGTGGAGTCAGTTCCAACTCATAGTAATCCTGCATAGAGTTTCCAAGGCTGTAAATCTTTATGGGAGCAGAAAGCCTCATCTTTTCTCCCACCGAATGTCTGGTAGTTTTAAACTGCTGCTGATCTTGAGGTTATCAGACTGACTCATAACTATTATGCTACTGGAACAATTGAAATGAAGTCATTTTCAGGAGGATTTGCATTCTTTCTTTTTTTTTTCTTTTTTTTTTTAGAAATAAGTCCCTGTGTGGCATTGTGGGTTAATGTGATTGACTGCAAAGTTAATTTGAACCTCAAAGTTGGCAATTCAATCTCAGAAACCCTATAGGGGTTCACTATGGGTTGGAACCCACTCGACCAATGGCACTTACCAACAATAACAACGTATCAAGAAGAATTGAACATACGAATCGGGCTGCGAACCTTAAGGTCAGCGGTTCGAAACTACCAGCCGCTCCGCGGGAGAAAGATGAGGCTTTCTACTCCCGTAAAGATTTACACCCTCGGAAACCCTGTACAGGGTCGCTATGGGTCGGAACCGACTCAATGGCACTTAACAACAACAACAACAATAAGGAATTAGTGGGAGTATTACTTGTTACATAAACAAAATGACTAGAGAAGTAGATTGCAGCAGGATCCATTCTGGAACCAGCACAGAAGTTTTTTTTTTTTTTTCACTGTTAAGGATTACACAATTAATACAAGGAAAGGGATGTGGGGAGACAAACACTCTCAACTAGAGAAGTGTGTATATGTGATGCTTTCACAACCCAATAAGTGTTTATTAACCAACTGTGTGGAACTGCAGTCTCAAGTGGCCATCCTCAATTGATGTGTAAGTTGTTAGTATCAAATCCAAGCCCACTGCTGTCAAATCTACTGTAATTTATGGTGACTGCATATGTGTCAGAGTAAGACTGTACTCCATAAGTTTGGTTTTCAATGACTGTTATCTTATGGAAGAAGCTCATCATGTTGCCAGATCATTCTTTTGAGGCAATATTGGGTGGATTTGAACCACCAGTCTTTCGGTTAGTAGTTGAACTTCAAACCATTTGCACCACTCAGGGGCTTCTATTAAAAAGGACTTACACAAAAAATCAGCATTTGCCATGTTAAGGTTAATTTGAACAGAATTGTTGTTAATCAAAGCAACGTACTTGTGTACATCCACTCCTCACTTACCTGTATGGTTTAGTTCCAAAGATCAGGTCATTATGCAAGAATTCAGATCCCTGCTAGTCTTCAGTGATAGTATGCCCACTTCCCGACCATCAGGCACCCCCAGCACCTTGGGATGCATATGGTACAGTGGGCCCCTATTCCCCAACATTACTTACCAACCACCAAGGAATGTCAAATTTGAAGGTGGGGTGGTTGGATGTGGTTTGTTACCTCACACCACTCAATTGAGAGTGGATCCCACTTACTCTCATCCACCCCTACCCTACCTTCCTTCTTCTCTCCTTCCCACTACCCCAGCAACTTTCCTAGCACCTCTAGGCCCCCACCTTATCTTTCTCCCTCAACCTTACTTCTTTCTGTCTTGCATCGCCTTCTATGGTTGGACCAAGATCTCTGGCCTGGTTGTCACTTGGGCCTCTGGTATGTCATTAGTGGTAGCTCACAGATGACACCCCAGGCCTGGCCCCATGTGAAGCCTAGACCATCTATCTGAGAGACTGCCGTTCATAAATGCAAAATGTAAGATAATGACAAGGAAAATAAGTCAGGACTAAGTGTATAACCTTCTGAAATCACAATGACTTCTGAAATTGATTCTTAAAGTTTTCTTTCGAATACTCATATATTTCTATTTATCCTTCATTTATGAGCAAATGAAGCTGCTGGATGGCACAAATGGTAAAGAACTCAACTATTAGCCAAAAGGTTGATGGTCGAACACACTCAAGGAGTCTTGGAAGACAGGCCTAGCAATATACTTCCAAAACGTCTCAGGCTTGAAGACCCTGTGAAGTACAATTCAACTCTATAGCAACCCAGCTGATCATGGATTGGAACCATGGATCGCAACCCAGCTGATCATGGATCGGAACCATGGATCGCAACCCAGCTGATCATGGAACAATATCATGAGTAAATAACAGATATTTAAAATGTATGATAGCCTATCTTAGGCATTGACTAAAAACCACCTTTTTGTCTTTGTTTTTTTAAATAAAAGGGAATTTTGGTATCACCTTTCAAATCATGAATGCTCAGTGCGATTCATTTTCTTAAGAGGTGTGAAGAAGGCCTACCTTGAGCGCCACTCGTAGCACATGATCAGAACATCTTGATGGGGCAGAATGTGCGGGCACTGGCATGAAGAATTGGTAATGAGTAGAACTTGAGTTCGAGGGATGGGGGATAAGGACTTGAAGATGTCTTTCACATCCACCACAGTGGTGAATTCATTGCAGCCACTCCTCTCGACAGCTTTTATTTTGGCATGAATAGCTGCAATTGAAAAGTCAATGTAAGTGATGTGGACGCTTTGGAGAAAAACTAGAGATGGTGAATTCACATCCACTGTTGAACCTCTTGAAAAGAATCATTCCTGTAATTATGGTCATGTCTAAACTGCCCAAATGAAGGCAAAAAGCCCACACAATCATATGCTAAATATACGACCTCCCATGTTGTCAAGACTGCTTTTTACGTTCTGAATCATACTGGAAGATGTAAAAGGACATCACCAAGACGGTTCTGCCTCTGGGTCAGTGATTGATTCTAATGGGGTTGCAGATTGGATTTGAAGAGAGAATCCCATTGCTCTTTCTTAGTCTTAAAATTCTATAATTCTCAAATTAGCTTTTATTTTTATTCTTTTGCCAAAAGCATATCAGGAAACTGAGTTACATAATATCAAGAAAAAATTCACAGAAATGTGTTTTTATTTATAGATAGCTTATCTTGTGATGACTTGAAGTGAGAGATGTATATTCTCTGATTCCGAAGTCACCTTAAAAGTTTATATAGTTCAATTTGCCACTTGATACTTGAATTTCCTGTTTTATGGGAAAGAACCATAAGATCCCTGAATGATACAAATGATGTGGTGCTGTAGGATAAGCACTGGACTACTACCCACAAGATCAGCAGTGGCTCAACCCCATCAGCTGATCCTCAGTAACCCTATACAACGTTGCTATGAGTTGGCATCAACTTGATGGTATTTAACAGAAAAACAACTAATAACCGAAAGGTCAGTGGTTCAAACTCTTTCAGTTGCCAGGAAAGACAGACTTGGCAATCTATTTCCATAAAGATTGGTGGTGGTTATGTGCCGTGGAGTCGGTTCCGACTCATAGCGACCCTTTACTGGGTTTCTGAGGCTGTACATCTTTACGGGAGCAGAAAGCCTCATAGTTCTCCCACAAACAGCTGGTAGTTTCAAATTGCTGACCTTGAGGTTCACAGCCCCACAACACTACCAGAGCTCCTTTTCATAAAGATTGTTGTTGTTGTGAAGTGCCATCGAGTCGGTTCCGACCCATAGTGACCCTGCATTGGGTTTCCAAGGAGCAGCTGGTGAGCTTGAACCACTGACCTCGCAGTTAGAAAATCCTATGGTATAGTTCTAGTCGATTACACATGGGGTTGTGATCAGTCAGTTTCGACTCAACGGCAATAGGTTGATTTTTTTCCCCCCAATATGATTATAACATTTTTAAACAGGAAGGAATCTTTGGGGATTATTGAGTTCAATTCTTTAATTTCACCGACTTTCAAAGTGAGACCCAGTGTGAGCAGAGGTTAGAACTGTTATGACACATGGCTGCTGATATCACCACTCTTGAAATTCTGGCTTCCTTCTGGTCCCCTGGTATTACTGCCTCCCACAATACTGTACTCAGCCTATTATGAATCTGTCTTGGATTCTATCCTAGGAAACTGGTTTATGAAGGAGCCAAAGAGTTTCATTGACAAGGTCATTCTGAGGCAATGACACCCAAGGGACTCGAATGACAGGAAAATTCATTAAAAACCAAGGCCAGATCTATGCAGATAAAGAACTAAGTAGATCCGATTAAGATACCCAATTAGAATGGGAACATAAACAGAACAGATGAAAAAAAAAAAAAAAACCTGCAACAAAATAACATATTTGAAAAAAATGTGGTTGAATAGCCCATATTGGTTATGTATGATACTCAGATCTTACAGACTACGTACAAGTTTTTGCTTTTTTTTCAGATTTTTATACTGCCACGAGCTTTCTACTTGCATGTGTGATACATAATCCAAAGCTCCTCATTGATACAACATGTCAGTGTGAAATTTGGAAAAAGTTGACAAACGAATATGGAAAGCCAAGTTAGCAAATAAAATGAATTATTTCCCCCTGAAATCCTTTTCTGTTATTTTAACACATACAATTTAAAGTGACAAAATGGGTCTTTTAAAGAACCTTTTAGCTAAATTTACCTTTGGATGATGGTGATAGGATTACATATTCTTAAAAGCATTTATCATAATTGACTTATTCTTTGTAGAAAATGCTGATGACTCCTCCAAATAAGAAAGAAGGCATTTAATTTATGCCAGTCTTGTAATCACAGAGGTTCCTGATTAATTCCCCATAATTTCTTTAAGATGTTCACTATGTGTAGGTGCTTATAAGTAAAAAGAAAAAACAAAACGACAATAAAAAACAAAAAACGCATAGATAGCTCGTCATTATCTGGGTCTCAGATAACCAGATCCATAGATTAGTCACCCAATAGCCCTCCTCATTCTTTGTACCTATAGCAATGAAACCAATGAAAGAGTAAGTAGGTTGTTCTGTTTCAGCTAATCAGGGTCTTTTCTTCTTCAAGACAAATAGGCTCAGGTGCCAAACTTTCAATCTGATCCACAAAACTGTTCTCATCTGGGCAGTTGGCTCTGTTTTCACTGACTTTACCCAGGGGACAAAAAGAGACAGTTTACATCTGTTGTTATTGTGTCATCTAGAATTCACATCATTGATCTGAAAAATTTCCAACCTATTATGCTTTTGAGTTATGGTGTTGAAGGAGAATACTGAAAGTGCCATGGGCTGCCAAAAGAACCAATAGATCTGTTTTGGAAGAAGTGCAGCCAGAGTGCTCCTTGGAGGCCAGGATGGCCAAACTTCGTCTCTCATATTTCGGACCTATTGTCAGGAGGGACCAGTCACTGGAGAAGGATATCATGTTTGGTAAGGTGGAGGGTCAGAGAAAAAGAGGAAGATCCCCAACGAGATGGATTGGCCAAGTGGCAGCATTGATGCACTCAAGTGTGGCAACAGTAGTGAGGTGGGCCCAGGATCGGGCAGTGTTTACTGCTGTGCATAAGGTCACTATGAGTCGGTACCGACTCGGTGGCACCTAACAACAACAACAACAATATGATTCCTATTGTGCAACTCTATTGTTATTCCAGCTTTGTAAAGTGTCAAGTTTCAAAAGCGAGTGGCTTCACCAGATGACTTACCATAACTGTAGTTTTTGCTCAGATAAGTCGCCAGAGTTGGTTTCACCTTTTTGCACTTGCACCTGTCTAATGGAGACATAAGAGAGACAAAAAGTTAGAGACACAATACTCACTTTAACTAGAAGGAGAGGGATGCCTGGGGAAATAAGAACTTACCGGGACTTAAGTGTTTACAATCAAGATCAAGAGGCCTTTCTTGTACCATCATGTCTGGGGTAATGTCTATCCACTTCACGTCTGAAATACACACAGGGACACGTGGGTGTGGTCAGTGGTTTTTGTCCATTCGCCTGACTAGGGAAAGGAACAATCTGAAGATAAAACCCTAACACAGAATCACAAAAGACCAGAGTACTAAACAGTAGAAATGTAATGGATTGCTGACAAATTGTTTCATATAGACATCTCTGGGCTTAGAACGAAGACTTTTGAGTGAGCATACCGACTCAATATGAATTGAAACAGCCGCACACCCATTTATCTTGACTGATCCACTTAGCTTGGCCATACTGGATTATTTCAGTCACCCCCTCTCCAAATGCATTTAAAAATGTTGGTTTTCCAAGTTGATGGTTTATACTACTCAAATAATCAAAATATTTACAAATCCCCGACGCACAATTTGCATCAGAGAAGCAGTCCATAACTAAAAACAAGCAAAGCCTTCTCTATCATTTGTTTTAGCAATAAAAGTATTCTTTCTAAAACTAATTTAGAGAGGAGTTTCAATTTTCCTCTTCCCTTAATTGCCACCGTCCTTCATGTTTTGGGTAATGCTCTGAGGTCTAACTTCAGAAACCACTCTAGAGCAATACCATAATCTCTTTAAACATGGTATAACCTGAGTCAGGGACCAAACCAACTCTGTGGAGTAGATTCCAACGCACAGTGACCCTACAGTACCGGGTAGGCTTCCTGAGACTGCAAGTCTTTGCAGAAGCAATCTCATCTTTCTCTGTTAGAGTGACTGGTGGGTTTGAACCGGGAGCTGTGTGGTTAGCAGCCCAATGCTTAGCCCACTGAATTACCAGGGCTCCTTTGAGTCAGGGAACATCTAGATAAATGAATACAAAAATATTTTTAGGTTTCATTTCAAGAAGTGGACCTTGAGAAACAACAAAATGATCAAAGAAGAAAAAAGGCAGATGAAGTTGAGATCAGGCTAATTGAGATGCCACAGATGAGGCGTGATGGTAAGAAAAGATGCTGCAGATGTGATCCAAGACCAGGAAATAGACGTCGCAATTTAATACTACATTTTCAAACAACACTCCTGGTGGGGAGTAATGACATTTACTCTTTTCAGAACCTTCAAGAAGCAGTACTCAGTGGAGAGAATACTAGTACCTGCCTTGCGCAATTGTTATGAAGATTAAAATGAGTTAATACATGGCAAGTTCTTAAGTCAGGCGACCCGTAATAAGTACTAGATACATGTTTGCTGCAGCAGCTATTCTGAATATCACTTCCGTTATTACTGTAAAATGAAAACATGGCCAATGGCACCTTCTGTAAATATAACCTCCTGGTGGTGTGAAGGGGGGAAGAACCAGACTCTTCCAGTAGTCTCCTTCCACCGAATGGCACCTCCTCCACGCTCCCACTTGGGACAGGACCAACCACTTGTAGGTGGTGCTGCCCTGATACTCACTGGGCCCTGACTGTCCGGGTGCCGTTTTGGCCCCCTCCCTCCTTCGCTCCCCAGCCTCACCCTCGGGGAGGTCGGTGACAATGGCCTCTGGCGAAATGCACACGCCCCGGTCATAGACAGGCAGCTCATCGCAGGCCAGGCTTTCAGGCCAGCTGTGGTTGTACATCTTCATGAGGGGCTCACAGTCGTCGCGCGCGCGCTGACACAAGGATTTGCACGGTTTGATGGGGTCGTGTAGGAACTCCAGGGTGCAGATGGGCGCGTACATGGCGCAGAGGAAGAATCGCAACACGCCACTGCAGTTCGCGTCTACCAGCTCCTCATACTGTTCAATGGCCAGGATAGCGTTCTCCTGCGTGCTGTGGTGCAGGTGGTTGGGCATCCGCGTGAGGTTCCAGGGCATGTGCCGGCACATGGGGATGCGCACCGCCTCGCAGGGCGCGCCGCGCACGCCCAGAGCCAGGCGCAGCCACAGGCAAAACGCAGCCAGGACCCAGAGGAGCATGGCACTGCCCTTCCACGCTGCGACCCCGGCAAGCAGAAAGGGCCCTTCGCTTCGCGCCTCTTTCGTCTTTTGCTCTCGCTTCTCGAAAAAGGGTGTCTTTTGGAGCACAGAAGCGATTCTCTTCCAAAATTCTAATGGGCAGCAATGAGAGGCCACTGGGTCCAACCGCCCAAATCCGCCTTCCAATGCTCAGAACAAGAGCGGCGGCAGCCCTCGGCCTCGGGGGCGAAAACCCGCGTAGGCGGTTCTTTTCTCGGACCCAGCAGCTCGAAGAGGAGTCAGCCACGGCCATTGCGGGACCCTATTTATCCCGACACGTCCCCTGACGTGGGCTCTGAACGCTCCCTTGGCAGCTGCAGGCGCGGCGCGGGCTCCCCCTCAGCTGCTCCACCCCCCAACCCTTTCTTTGCAGGGGCGGTGACATCATCTCCTCCGGGTCCCAGCCCAGGGTTGGAATCCTCATTCTCCAAAACCCTTCCTTTTTAGTCTGGCCAGTCCTCTTTCTTCGGACCAAGAAAAAGAGTCTCTGGCAGTCGTGTTGGACCCCGGATCCAAGTGGGTGCATGAGAAGATCTCAAAGAAAAGAAAGACGCTCTTTTGAGTGAGAGCTGAACTTTGCACCTTTGCCTGTAAGTTCCCCAAGAGTAGAGTTGGAGGAAGCCACAGACCAAACTTACAGACCAAACCCAACCCAGGCATCGCAGTCCAGTAGATTCCTTCTCATTTTAACAGCTTCTGCTGCGCTGGAATACCGCATATTTGCTTTCTTCTTTAAGAACCTGACTGAGCACTGAATAGTGACAATATTAAGGGAAAAGTGTACTTAATGCTGGAACATAATGGGCATATTATATGTCACACTCCATCACACCTCATGTGTGTGCTGGATTTTTGTTGTTATTGTTGCGGATAATAAGCTTTCGTTTTTTGCTCAAGTTCTTTCAGAATGGCTCTTGGTTTGTTCTTGCTCCAGGAATTTAACAGAACTCCCTGAAAATACAATAGTATCATCTAGCTAGAGAACAGTCTTGAATCGACCAAATTTTCTCCTCCTTTTTCTAACCCCCTAACTCTTTCTCCAACATGAATGTTACCCAGGAGAAAACCAAGACAATTTTTGGACATTACAATCTGAATTTTTTTTTTTTTTTCCTACTTCATGCCAAGAGATTTCAATCCTGAAATCTTGGTTTTTTGATGTGCTTGGAGAGTGTTACTTGAAATGCATAAAAATGTGTGTACTGTGGAAAACAAGTATGTATATTTTGTTCTCCCTTTTATCTTATTTCTATTAGGAAGAAGAAATGGAACCCTGGTAGCACATCACATGACTACTAAGCAAAAGGTTGGTGATTTCAACCCACCAGCCGGAGAAAGATGTGGCAGTTGGCTTCAGTAAAGATTCTTGTTGTTGATGATGTTAATTAAGTACCTTTGAGTCATAGCAACCCTTGATAGGGTTTCCGAGGAGATGCTGGTGGATTTGAACCACCCATCTTGTGGTTAGCAGCCCAGTGCTCAAGTGCTCATCCTACAGTGCCATACCAGGACTTCTCAGTAAAGATTACAGCCTAGGAAACCCTATGGGGCAGTGCTACTCTGTCCTGTAAGTTAGATATGAGCTGGAATCGACTTGAAGGTAGTGGTTTTGGTTTTGGGGGTTAGCTATCCTCAAAAAGGAGGCTTTACTGTTGCTAGTGTACTTCAGTTTTCAGATTGTAAATGTCTGGTCTATGCTATTTTCCTAGGGTGTTAACAATTTGCAAAAAATTCTCTTTGAATGCTAATCTTTAAAACATAGTTTCATTTGAGATCTAAATTTAAGGCAGGCATGTTTTTCTCTCCAAAGCTTAGACACACAGAAGTTAGTGCGGTTTTGACTTTGACCAAGATTGAGGGTTGAAATAGTCCAAGAAACAACAAAACAACGGACATTCATTGAGCATTTATAATGGCTAAGCATAGTGGACTTCTGGTGCGGCGTCCTAAGATCAGCACTGGACTGCAAACCACAAGGTCGCAGGTCAAACCCAACAGGTCCTCCCTGTAAATCCTATACAGGGTCCAGAACCATCTCAATGGCACTTAACAACAACAACATAGTATGCAGCATGTTAAATGCATTTTTTGACCTTTGTAGGCAAAATGAATTATACATGGTATCACTGTAAATTTAAAAACATAAATTCATCCACCAAAGGATGACTCACCCAAGGAGTTAGGTTCCATTTGGGGAAACCTCAGAGTATCCAGATTTAACCAGCCCAGTCTACAGAGATATTGTAGTTTTCTATAGGACAGATCTGGAGTTTCTGGGTGGCACAAACAGTTAAGTACTCAGCTATTAGCTAAAAGGTTGGTGATTTGAGAACCCACCTAGAGGCACCTTGGAGGACAGGCCTGGGAATCTGCTTCTCATAGGAAGCCTTGAAAATCCTATGGAGAAATTCTACTGTGCTCACAGGAGACGGCCATGAACCGGAATCTACTCAACAGATGCCAGTTCAGGCTACTGAGATACCACAAGAGTGGGTAGCAGGACATCTCAAGACATTTACAGCAGTGCAATCCTATGAGTCTAAGACCCTGGTTTAGTGAAACCCACTTTCAAAACAAGTTCCTACAAATGGGGAAAATATAGTTTTGGGAAAGAGCTGAACTCCCTACTCTTTCCTATGGGCTTGTTGATGGCAACCTTGGAAAGAACTTAAAAGGTCTACAGTCTGTTTGGACCTGCCACATTTGTTTAGCTGAGCAAATGCCAAATCAAAACATTACACGTCAGTCTTAATATTCTGACTTGTTATTGTTGTTGTTAAGTGCCATAGAGTTGGTTCTGACCCATAGCAACCCTGTATAGGGTTTCCAAGGAGTGACTGGCGATCTTGAACCGCCAACCTTGCAGTTCAAACAACTTTGCACTCCAGCACATTAACCCACAGCGCCACACCAGGACTGCTTGGCCTTTAAGAAAGGGTGGGAAGTTAAGGGCCTGCCTTTGCAGAGCTCTTTGCATACCCCATTAGAGCCAATTGTAGTCTGTTTTCGGTGTTTCTACTGAAGGGAAGAGTTGAGATTCCTTAGACTGAACTCGCTGTTGTTGTTGCTAAGTGATGTCATGTCATTTCCAACCTACTGCGACCCTGTATAGAGTTTCCGTGGAGCGGCTGGTGGGTTTGAACCACCAACCTTGAAGTTCATACTGACCTTGTGGTCCAGTGCATTATCCCACAGCCCCACATCAGGGAGGCTATAATTCTAGAATATTCTGCTTCAGCACTCAAGTCACTGCATTTGCTTGTCAAAACGTATGGGCTTGAGGAAGTTCCATTAGTCAGTAGCTTTTCTCTGGCCTCTCCTTTTCCATCTTCTCAGGTACATCCACGGATGTTGTTTCTATCTTCTCTGTTCATCCACGGATGTTGTTTAGCGTTCTCTTAGTCATTTTACTTTTAGTCCTCTTCTCATTCTCCACACCGTCTGTTAATGCAGATTTTTCATCCCAACATTGGCACAATTGACATTTGGACCTGATGATTTTTAGGGGTGGGAAGGGAGGGGAGGCCTGTCCTGTAGATTGTGAGCATTGTAGGGAGCCAATAGCACCTCTCTTCCAGATTGGAAAACCAAAAATATCTCCTGGTGAAGAATCAATGCTCTTCTTTAAAGACTTCACGTACCACTTATTTGGCTACAGCTTCCTAATCCAGATCTCTACACCATTTTTAAAAACCCGTTTTCTGGAAGGGTTAATCCAGTTGTTCCCATGTTTGGGAGCATGGTGGAGCCATATGATAAGCACTAGACTGCAAACCTGGATGTCTGCTGTTCATTCCTGCCAGCTGCTATGCGGGGGGTGGGGAGAAAGATGAGATTTTCTGCTCCTGCAAAGATCTGAAGACTTAGAAGCCCTATACAGGGTTGCTATGAGTTGGAATGGACTCAAAGGAACTTAAGGACAACAGCAATCCCATGTTTAAAAGGAACCCTGGTGGTATAGTAGGTGTTAACTAAACAGTCAACAGTTGGACCTCACCAGCTACTCTGCAGAAGAAAAGAGGTGATTGTTTGCTCCCTCCATAAAGATTTGGTGCTTGGTGGTGATGTGCCTTGGAGTTGGCTCCAATTTATAGCGACCCTGTACAAGGTTTCTGAGGTTGTAAATCTTTACGGCAGTAGAAAGCCTCATCTTTCTCCCATGGAGCAGCTGGCAGTTTCATACTGCTGACCCTGAGGTTAGCAGTCCAACTCATAACCACTATGATACCAGAGCTCCTTCCGTAAAGATTTACAGCCAGGGAAACCATAAGGAGCAGTTCTCTCTGTCCTGTGGGGTCACTATGAGTCAGGATCGACAGGATGGAAGTGGGTTTGGTTTGGTGGTTTGAATGCCATGTTTAAGGATCCTTGATGGCACAGTGGTTAAAGCACTTGGTCAGTTATTCAAACCCACTAACCATTCCTTGGGAGGCAGATGTAGTATTCTGTTTCCAAAAAGATTTATAGTTTTGGAAACCGTATGGGATAGTTTTACTCTATTCTATAGAGTACGGAGTACTGGTGTGGTGCTATGGGTTCATGTGCCAGACTGCAAAGCCGTTTGAATTGTAAGGTCGGCAGCTTAAGTTCACTAGATGCTCCTTGGGAACCCTATAGAGGGTCACTCTGGGTCAGAACTGCTATGTGTCAGAAGTGACTCGATGACCTTGGGTTTGGATCCCACATTTATCTCAAACTCAAAAACTAAACTTACTGCCATTGAGTTGATTCCAATAGTAGAACTGAGCATCATAGGGCTTTCTTGGCTGATTGCTAAATTTGGCTGATCGCCAGGTCTCCTCCACAGCACTGGCTGGGTTTGAATGGTCAACCTTTCAGCTAGCTGAACACAAATCGTTTGTATCACCTAGGGACCTATCTCAAACTGGATAAATTCTAAACTGACTATCTTCTTTATTTACTCAGGCCTGAACTCCCAGTGAGTCAAACCTGAAACTCCTTATTCTCTCTCTGAGTCTAAATCCTTCATAGTTTTCAACTCTTTTCCATTCTTTCCTTTCTCACTACTGCCATCAGCACAGACAGCTAGTATCTCTTGTCTGGCTTATATCCATAGCTCCTTACTTAGTCAGTCTGCCTTCTGTCTGGAATATCCTATACCACAGTAAGCTTCCTGAGGAATATATCTGAAGCCTTTCCCTGGACTTAAATTGATCAATAGGTCCTACTGCACTCAGGGTTAGTAACAAAATACTTAAAACGACTTTAAAGGCCCGTAATGTTCTGGCCTTTAAGCCTCATACTCATACCCCAATACTATGACACGCTGTCCCATTTTGTTGGTCTCCACACCTTTGTCCCACTTTCACCTGCCTCCTTCTACCTCATTTCCAGCTCAAATGAAAAGATCTGGAAAGCAAGGACTTTGTTTTTATTTTAATGTTTTATTCTTTTTTTCTTTGTTCAGTATTATAGATCCAAATGTTACACAAGCATATTAACTTCGTTCTTGGGGATTGCTAAACTCCCGGACACACAAACTTCTAAGTTCCTAGTGCTGTCGGTTCTGACTCATAGCTACGGGAGTGACTGGTGGATTTGAACTGTTGACCTTGTGGTTAGCAGCCCAACAGATAACCCAGTATGCTAACAGGAAATAAAGAATAGCACTTACCCTGGAAGTATGACCTCTGCCTTTTCCCATATCCATTTAAGGCTGCACTGAGAGTAGGGACTGGGAAGGGACTGTAATGAATGTCTGGTAACATTTCTTCAGGAAAGGATCCTTCTTTTCACTTTTAATTTACAGGAAGAAGACTGCAATTTGGGGAAGGTCTGTGGGGCACAGAAAGTGCAACAGAACCGCTTTCCTAACCGTGACCTTGAAATTCTCCCCACCTGAACGTACCCCTTTGCCCCTTTAAAACCCAGTGCCCTTCAGAATGCAAGTGGCATCACTGCCACTGCATTTCCTGTTGGCAGCAGAGAGCAAGTAAAAACAGAAGCTGTTGCAGGCGGTGGCTAAGGCAGAAACAGCTCTGGCGCGTTTCATCGGCGTTTCCCAGGCTCCTCGTCCCAGCACTGGGCCTTGTGTGCCCAGATTCTAACGCTGCAGACGCTTCCTCGGGAACAGGAAGCAACTTGGCCCAAACTGCGCTCCCCGCAAGTGCTGCGAACCCGGGGCGGACCGCCACTCTTCGCCCGGCTGCCCCAGCACCTCCCTGGGCTCCGCATCACCCTAGGGGACTCGCAGGGGCGGCGATAGCCATGCCGGGGTGCGCTTGTCTCCGCGTGGCCCGGGGGTCCGTGATGGCCTGGCTGCTGGCCGGCCTCTGGGTCTGGGGGCTGGGCGGCCTCTGCGGGCTGGGGGCGGCGGCGCCGGGAACCGCAGGCTCCCTAAGGGCACCGCAGCCGTGCCAGGCGCCGCAGCAATGGGAGGGGCGCCAGGTTCTGTACCAGCAGAGCAGCGGTCGCAACAGCCGCGCCCTGGTCTCCTACGACGGACTCAACCAGCGCGTCAGGGTGCTGGACGAGAGGAAGGCGCTCATCCCCTGCAAGAGGTACGCTGGGGTCGGCAGGGCGCGGGCGCGGGTGGTGGGGGCGCGAAGTCTGCACTCCAGTTCCAGCCGCTGCACTTGCCCAGTCAAAGGGCCTCGGGGCTCCTCCCTTTTCCCAAAGGAAACCTTTGTAGGCGGGTCGCCTGAAGCCCACTTGGTCGGGGGCTGGCGGAGGGCTTAGCTCGCTGGGTCAGTGAGCGGGGTCGCTCTGTAATGCGCCCTCACCCTAGGTTCGCCAGCTCCCCTTAGGCTACGGAGTCCGGCCCGCCACCTTTGGAGCCCCCTGCAGCTTCGGGCGTGCCCTATACACTATCTCATCTCTGCAGGGCCAACTGCCAGGGAGTCACCCAGAATTTGTAACAAAAGGCATAGATACACATTTAGAAACAATACAACACTACCAAAGGATGGGGAAACCAATAAAGGGAATTAGATCGCCCACAGACTCATCCGTTTTAACTATTCCCTTAAAGTTTATAAGCAAATTTTACATGATCAACGAACATACTCATATATTATCTATATCCTTTTTAATTAACCTGGTATCCTACATGCTGTGATTTGCCATTTTTTGGTGGACTCCTTGCCGATTTTTAATAACTGCACAATATTATATAGAGGAGATAGGCGGTAACTTTTTTACAACCACTTTCCCATGCTTGTTTTGACAGGACACCTTCAGACTGACCTGTCTAAGATCTGATTTCTATTCCGGGATCACCACGTGTCTTTCTGTCTCCACCCTCTTGTTTCTCTGTTTGTTCCTCTCAGGATTATGCTGGTCTCTATTTATGGTATTTGCATCACTGTGAGATGTCACATGCTTTCAGGCTCCAATGAGCTGTAAGATCGATGTCAAAATGGCACCATTAAAGTGTCTAGGACAAAACATACCTTGATAATGTCATTTCATCAAACAGCATTTATTAAAGATAGTGGATGTCTTTAAGAAAATATGGGAGCAATGAAACCTTTCAATTGGGCATATTCAAGAATGCAAGATAATGCTTTACAAAATGCCATCCGTGGGTGATTGGAAGCACAGAGAAGTAGGATTCTCATGCTGGACTGTGAATTTCTGTGAAGCCTTTTAAGAAGGTGGTTTCTATTAAGTCTTGAAGAACATTATCATAATAGTAATTATCAACATTTGTATGTTTATTGTATATACCAGGCCCATGACTTTACACATATTATATGATTTTATTGAAATCACACAGAAAATAGGTCTAGGGAGATTAAACAACTTTCTCCAGATTTCACAGTTGGGACTTGAGGGAGCTGGGTACAGTTGACACCTATGATGCAAAAGGCTCATTTCTACTCACTCCATTTCTTCATTCAACAAATATTTTTATTCAGATCAGACACTGTGTATGAGCAGGTGGGTCCTACTGTTCAGGGACATCATAGTCTGACATTGTTGTTAGTTGTCACCATCCCTGAGTAGCATGGTTTTAGTAGCCAGAAGTCACAGGGACATGAAGACACCATTTGACCTGAACCATTGTGGGCCTGCCCAGGCAACATAAAAATGGATGGGCCTGGATAATTTCAAGAAGAGTAATCAGTTTTCCTTTGGCAATCTTTAGTTATTGTTAAATGTTTGCTCTCTATAAAAATGAATAATGACTTTCACTTTTGCCAACATTGTGTGTCTCATGTGTCCAGATCGCTCACACATAAATGTAGCAGGCATAGAATGGTTGGTGCTTGTGGGTATATCTATCTTATTCTTAGTGCAGTCTGTTTGCATGTGCAGTACAGATAGAAGTCATATGCATATAGTCTCTTAAGCTTTCAGAGACTCAGTTGCCTCATCTACAAAATGGAACTACTACTAATACCCATGGAGTCCTCATGTGATGCTGCAGGATAAGCACTGGTCTGCTGACTGCAAGGTCAGAAGTTCAAGTCCACCTGCTGCTCCTCAGGGTCATTATGAATTGGAACCGACTTGCTAACACTTAACAATGATGCCTATATTGGATTGTTGTGGGAATTATAAATAAATTAACACAAAGAAAGCACAGAGTGCAGTGTCTGGCACGTCAGCTACTGAGCACGTGGCAGCAGCTAGTCCCATTATCACCATCATCAGCTTCATCCTGGTGAATTTACCTTGACCCAGAGTCTCACTGTCAGCACTGTGAGCTCAGAACCGTGGTCCATGAGCACACACAAGAGTCCTTTGGGAGTAGAGTCACAGTAAACAACCTCAAAGGCTAATCTATACATTTCAGTGACCTGTAGAACTGGCATGAAGACCAGAATTCTCAAATCTTAGGTTATTTTCTCCCTCTAGACAGAACTATGTGGGGAGCCAAACTAGCGTCAGGAGGTTGTCGAGCTAGCAAAGAGTTGGAGCAGTTCAAATTCACTGAACAAGCATCTAATGATTACACACTCTAGGCTAGGCAGTATGTTTAATCTTGAACGTTCCATCATAATAAGACAGGCCAACCCAGGGTAATGTTTCATGGTAATCAAGCTATGGTAAAGTGTTATATTCATTTTTACAACAGAGACCTCTTTTTTGTATGTGCTGCCCTAACTTGACTGGGCAAGACCCACTCCATTCTGAGCAGAGTCACCCTTCGTTTTCTATGACTCTATGATTGGGGAGTCCTGGCATGACACTGTAGGATAAGCACTGGACTGTTAACCATAAGTAAGGTCGGTGGTTCAAACCCACCAGCTGCTCCTTGAAAACTATCCAGGATCACTATGAGTTGGAACTGATTGAACAGCACTTAACAATAATTATTGTTATTAAGTCTTTGGATATGTGTATTATACTTTTGGTGGGGTCACTATAACATCCTCTTAGCTAGAAGATCCTATATTCCCTTGCAGTGATTTCTCGTTCTTCTGCCCTAATCCATTAAGTGTTGGTTTTACAGTTTTAACTTTTAGAAGTCAATTTTATTCCCCTTCTTTCCAATGTCTTGGCAAGACTCTGCTTCACAATCCCATCTCTGGCCCCAAATCAGATATGAAAATGAAGGTTTAGCACATAAATGCATTTTCAAGCCCTTTGAGTTGTTGGAACAAACTCAAAAACTTTTTCAGGTACTAGCAATCTGGCTTAGAAACCAGATGTTAAGAAAATATATATGGGTTGTCTCCATATTTTTTAGTAAGTTGAGAAGTAAGTTTTAGCATTGGATCAACCTCTTAAGATTTTAATTTTGCATTCTGATAGTTATGGAAAATCCCACTGATAGATGCTGTAGAATGACTAGGATTTTCCAGGCTCTCTTCTCTCTGAGATGATGGAAATGATTAAACAACTTTACAAGCTTCAGATAAGACAAGCCTTAGAAGAGAATGGGAAATATTAGTAATTGATACTACTTTGTTTTCCAACTGCCTTTCCCGACTCTTTGATTAAACTCATAAGTCTTACTTTTGGAAGACTGAACGAAAAGGAAGATTATTTTCATGTTTCAGTCAACATGTTGACCTTTATAGGAGAAGCAAGGATGGTGAGACCTTGTCTTACTTTCTTTGGACATGTTATCAGGAGAGACCAATCCCTGGAGAAAAATATCATTCTTGGTAAAGTAGAACATCCGTGAAAAAGAGGAAGACCTTCATTGAGATGCATTTACACAATGTTTGCAACAGTGGACTCAACCATAGAAACAATTGTGAGAATGGCACAAGACCTAGCAACATTGCCTTCTAGTATATGTAGGGTCCCTGTGAGTTATAACCTACTCTCTTGACTCTAACAACAACAGTGTAAATATAGAGTGGGCTCTGTTAGGCTACCAGTAACTTACTAATTCTGCTTACAAAGTGGTGGGTAGGATGTTAGATTCAATGAAAGTGCTGATGTAGACTGAGCAGAGAAGAATTGAGAAAATTTGTATCTATAAGCTTGAGGTCTTGGCTTGGAAATCCAGTCAATTGCCAGTTCTATGTGTTTAACTGGAGATTTGTATCTATAAATGATTGTTGTTGTTGTTATGTGCCGTGGAGTCGGTTCGGACTCATAGCGACTCTGTACAGGGTTTCCAAGGCTGTAAATCTTTACAGGAGCAGAATGCCTCATCTTTCTCCCACGGAACAGCTGGTAGTTTTGAACTGCTGACCTTGCAGTTCGCAGCCCGATTCGTAACCACTACGCTACCAGAGCTCCTTCTGTAAATGATTATAGAGGTTTAAAAATACCTTAGAGTGGTGAGTGGATTCTCATTCAAGTTCTGAGTAACTGAAGTCTGTCTCAGTTTTCCCATAGCATTTCATTTCTTGGAAAATAGAATAACATTGCTATTTTTCTAGAAACCAGTCTGGAATAGAGAGAACATGAGCATGCATGTTTGAGTTGTGAGTTGTCAAACATGACTTCTAATTCTGGGTTGTTCACCTCATGGTGCATAACTTCTCAGAAACTCAGTTTGGGGGTTTTTTTTTTTTTTTTTAAATTTTATTAAATGTATTTCTAATGATACCTACAGTGTTGATACTAAATAACTTTTAGACCTTCTTTCTTAAAGCTAGGTACAGATAGGAACCAGTGATACCACGAGAGCCGTAATTGTGCTTTTATTATATCAGGCTGATTCACTGTTTTTTTTACCATGTAATGAAGTTGACCCGAGTATAATAAAAAATTTTTAAAAAGTAAACACGATTGTTGCCTTTGTGCAGATAATCTAAGGTTCTTTTTCTTCCTTCTCCATTTTACTAAGCCTGTGCTTCTGGGTAGAAAGAAGAAGAAGAGAGTACCTTTCAATGATTTAGCTCCAAACTCTGCAGACTGCCATCTCTAAGGAATCCCACTTCATATTAAGCAGTAGAACGAAACTGTTTACAGGCGTGTTCTTCCAAGTATCTGCTATAGAAAATTTGCTGCATGAGATGGTATCATGGTGAATTCAGCAATTATATGTGCTTGAGAGTAGGGATATATTTTTTAGTATATAATCTTATTTTTAAAACGATTTCACACTTACAGAAAAGTTGCAATTAATTAGTACAAAGAGTTTTACTTA